CTCCCCCATCCACAGCCAGCTAGAGCATCTGCAGTCCAAGTACATCGGCACCGGCCACGCCGACACCACCAAGTGGGAGTGGCTGGTGAACCAGCACCGCGACTCCTACTGCTCCTACATGGGCCACTTCGACCTTCTCAACTACTTCGCCATTGCCGAGAATGAGAGCAAAGCGCGAGTCCGCTTCAACTTGATGGAGAAGATGCTGCAGCCTTGCGGCCCGCCAGCCGACAAGCCGGAGGAGAACTGAGACCCCGCCGTGTCACCGCTGTACGTGAGCACCTCTTCCTGAGTTCCGCCGGTTTGCCGTCATTCCCGCGTGTTCCTCCCCCAAGGGGACTGATTTTCCATGCCTCGTGCTTTACTTGTGCTTTACTTGTGCTTATTGGGGGCGTCCCGCCTGACCTGCCTTCCTGTGGACCCTGTTTTCTTGTGGAACACAGCGTTGGGAGACCGTCAGGACCCCTGAAAACTGTTACCGGACGGTGGAGAGAGCCTAAAGCCAGCAAACGTTAGAGAAGACGGCACTGGAGTGAGACGGGATTTAGAGGCTCGTTTTCGGCTAGTTGATTGTCGTTGTTGATTTTTCCATAAAGTTTGGAAATGTTTCAGTCTCTTGGTGTGGACTACTTGTGTTCTGGTGGAGGGGTCCAGGGACGGCTCTGGAACTGTGGTTTCAGGGGATGGCGGGGGGGGGGGATAAATAAGGGGAGGGTTGCGGAGGCGTTGGGCGGTAGTGCAGGACCAACGTTCATTGCCGGACACTTGAATGCGTCCTGCACAACCTTTAGAATGTTCCCCAACCCCGACTTTTCCCAAGAGCTTTTTTCAGGCCCATAACGCTTTCAGTATTGAGGTTTGTGATCATTGTATCCCTTCTTTTTCTTTCATTCAAAAATATCTTTGCTGGCATTGCCCTCTCTCTGTAAATTGCATCCTCTCTTTCTTTTGGGACTTTGTGGACGTGTCTCGAGAATTGACAAGCTGTCAAAACGAGTTCTTTCATTAATTCACCATTCAACAAATATCTGTTGAGCGCTATGTGGCAGGCATTTCCCAAGCTTTAGGGGCTTGTATTACACTAGTTGGGGGAGCAGGAGGCCCCACGAACTGTAGACATAAGTAAGCAAATGTTAGAAGGTGCTGTGGAGAATGGGAGTAGCAGTAGGGTTGCAGTTTTAAACAGGACGCTCATGTTAGACTATTGAGAAGGTGACATTTGAGCAGAAACTTTAAGGAATTGAGGGAAATAGCCATGCAAAAACTAGGGATATTACTTTCTAGGCAGAGGGAACTTCAGTGCAATGTTCCTAACACAGGAGTGTGTCTGACTTGTTGGAGGAACAGCAAAGAAACAAGTATGGCTGAAGGGAGTGAGCAAGGGAAAGA